GCGCAGGAGGGGCCCGGGGCAGCCCCCGCGGCGCGTCATGACCCCACTCACCCGACCCCCAAGGCCAACGACGGGGTGGCGCGGGGAGCGGCGGCGGCGGCGCTATCGCGGGGAGACTCTGCGCGCCAGCCTAGGAACACGAGGACGGAGAATTCCAGGCTACACCCAGTCCCCTCCCCTCCCCGCGCTCCCCTCCCCAGGCCCGGCCCGCCGCGCACGCCCTCCCCTCCCCTGTCCTCCTCCGGGGAGACCCAGAGATGAATAAAGAAATGGTCCCGATTTTCCAAACAAAAAGTAAAGAGTTCTCCTGGGGGGCGTCGGGCAGACCCGTTCAGAGCCGAGTCCCCACAGAGGCGGAAAGGAGGAGGCAAAGACTGCGTGCGCCCCGGCTCTCGCCAGGCTCAGGTGGTGGCGCGCTCTGGCTGGTGCGGAGAGGGGGTGGGGAGCGAAGACGCTCGAACGTGTAAATCACGCCTCCTCTCAAGTAAGAGCCATTTAAAATATCCCCAACACTGCAGCTTCCACGGGACCACGGGGTCCGGGTGTGCGTCTGGGGCACATCCACCCAAAAGGCGTCTGTGAAGAATCTTTCTTCTCTCCCTCATTTAGGGTCGCTCCAGAGTGGATTGAGGTTGAGCAGTTTTGCTGCGTGCCCCTCAACCTCCCCACACCGTCCCCCAGTAATAAAAGTGCTGATAATGATGGTTAGTCGGTGAAGCCGCCGGTTGCACGGCTCTGGTGCTCCCGGACTCCTGGCTCTCCGCCCTGCCTCCTCCTCCTCCTCCACCTCCTCCTCCCTCTGTCGTCACAGGCGGGTCTGGGGGACCTGGTGCGGCCGGGCGGGAGCGAGCGCCCTTGCGGGCGTAGAGTGTTTGTGAACAGCTGGTCAGGCAGTCAGTAGCTGTTACTTGCCTTCTCTCCTCCACTCCGTCCTCTCCTCCTCAAATGCGCGAGTGTGGGAGTGGGGAACACCTTATCTCAGACGGTCTCCAAGCGTGCCGAGCCGCAGGGGGCGCGGGGGAGCCCAGGGGGCGCCGACGGCTCGGCAAAGTTGGGCGTCTGCATGTGCGCGCCAGCCGTAAGCAAGCAGGCAGCCACTGTGGTTCCCCTCGCACTCCCCCTCCAGAGAATTCCCCGAGAAGGCGGGCGCCGGCTTCGGGCCCGGGATAGACCTGCGGCGGCGGCGGGAACGGCCACGCACAGGTACAATTTAGCGCGTTTCATTGCGCGCTCCAAGCTTTGGGGTCCATCCGTTGCAACGCCGACCGAGTCGAATCTCTGAGGCGCTCTCTCCGGCCAAGGGGGTGGGAACCGGGGCGTGGCGAGGGGTCCTCAGGCTTCGCGCTCCGAGCGGTCGGCCTTCCCATCCAACGCCTCCAGTGGCTCCTGCTTGGCCTCCTAGTGCCAAGGGTCAAGCGAGAGGCGGCGGTGACTGGAGGCGCGCTCCCTGGAGTGTGGCCCGCACTACTGAGCATGGGCGTGCATATTAATCAAAGCTAAAGCAAGACGGAATAGGGAAAGGAGGAAGAGGAGGAGGAAGAGAGGGGAAGAGAAGGAGAGAAAGAGGGAAATGGGCGGGAGAACGCGACTCAGGGAGGTATTTCCCTAACGTTCCCACCCCAGACTCCCCAGTGCCAAGTGGCCCTCCACTTCTCAAACTGAACTTGGGAACTTGCACGTTAGAAACAGGAAGTCGTGGGCTGGGAAATCCTCCTTTTTTGGTTCCTCTCTTCCCTTCCCCCACACCAGACCCTCCTTCCTAGATTTCCTCAGCAACACCTGCAACTGCTGTGCTGCCCACCCCGGGGGCGCACCCACTCAGCCCTGCCTAGGTCCTTCTACCCATCCGTACTCTCGTCCACTTTCTGTGCTCACCCTCGCTATTCTCCACATCGCTTTCTGTTTCCAAAGGCTCTCCTTGGTTCACCGGCAGCTTCTAGTCGACACCCCCCCGCCCAGTATTGCCATCCCCGGGGAGCTACTGGGAGGGGCTAGAAATTCCCCTGCAACCCTCCACTTGTGCCCTTCCCCCAATCTTAATTTCTGCTCGCGGAGACGCTGCTGCTCTGCAGCGCTTTGCTGATTCACGATGATCGCGGAGGGAAAAGCCTCATTGACTTGTGCCCCTGCAAGCGGCGAGGCGAGCACGAGTGGCTGCGAGGGCACACGCTTTAGGAAACCACCCACCACTGCGCAGCGGAGGTGCTAAATGGCAGGGTGGATGCCCTGCGTGGTTCTCAGCTGGGGCAGACAGAAAGACAAAGGGCCGGGGTGTGTGTGTGTGTGTGTGTGTGTGTGTGTGTGTGTGTGTGTGTGTGTGTGTGGTGGCAGTGGGAAATACTGTGAGCCCTGTTCTTTGCTGCTGAGCCGGCGACAGCTGGTGGGTGGGCACCTCTCAGGAGGCCTAAAGTCGGTCTCTGCGCGAGGAGTGAACAGAAACGTTTCATGTGCCCTGATGCCAGCGCAGCGACAAAAGTAAGAGAAGGGAAACCAGCCGACAGGTCTCCTTGGGAGCATTTAACATTTTGGCGAAGCTCTTTTCATTCTGAAGTCTTTGTCCCTCTGAATGGTTCCCTCCTAAACTTGGTTTGCTCTCATCCCTAGAATTTCCGGCCTTTTAATGTAAGCCCTGAAGCAAGCTGACGAGCAGGCGTCCCTTCTCTCAGTGCCTGGGCTGCATTGTAGAGCGGGAGAAACCCAGCATTGCTCAGCTGGCCCAGGGTGGGAGTGTTATCCAACAATACAGAAAGGTCTTTTCCTTTGAGACCAAGGCATTTGCTTCTAGTCCTCCCAACTCTATTCCTGATTGCCCTTATGTATATTTGGGGGAACTTCCACCCCAAAGCAGACAGCTTTAATTCAGAGGTACAACGGCCTGAGAATAGATCTTCCTGCCACTTTTTATTGCGGGAAGTCCAGTTAGTATTGTCTAAATTGAGTTGGAGCAAGAGAGAGGAAGAGAGAGAGAGAGAGAAGAGAGAGGGAGAGAGACAGACAGACAGAACGCAGAGCAGAGGGCATTGCCTCCTCCAGATTTGGTTTTTCTTCTCTTTTGCTTCAGACGTTCAATGGAGCATTGCAACCACCAAAGGGTTGGGTATGCATTTGGGACAATGACCTCGGGTACAGAGCTTCCATCAGTACATTCGTAAATTATTCCTTTTTCTGATTAAAAATTAACACATATTAATTGTAGAAAATAAGAACAAGAAAAAGAAGGAAACAAAAAGACACTTGTATCTCTATATTCCCACCACCTTTCAAAGGTAATCTCTGTTGACAATTTATTGTAGACACAGAGAATATAATATAGAGGTTAAGGCTGTTGGTTCCATAGCCACTAAGTTGAATCCTTGCTCCACTACTTGCTAACTATGATATGTTTGGTAACTTAAATTCTTTATGCCACACTTTTCTTTTCTTGAAAATGAGAATATTAATAGTACGTACCCCACAGAGTTGCTGTGAGGATTAAATAGGTTAAAAGATGTAAGGCACTTAAAACAGTGCCTGGAATATCACTGACACCTAGTAAATGATATTTGCTAGAATTCTAGTCTTTTCTGAGTATGTGTGTGTGAAAAAGAAAATCAGTCCCTGCCATCCAGAAGCTGGTTCAAACATGATTATGGAGTGGTCCTAATCTTGTCTGGATCCATCACAGTTACAGAATGACCTTATCAGCCATATTAGTGTTTTGGGGAATGGTTTTTGTTCAACAGGAGAACATAGATAAATATGAACCACCAAGTGACCAAACATGTTCCTATTCTAGCTAATATGAGTGACTATTCTGGTTTTTTAAAAAACAAATTGCAGCTTTAGCCTTAGTCTAGTCTTCTCTCCATCTAGATGGAGATTTATTAAGACATCCCATCAGAAAACTACTCCCGCTTCCTGACAGCACCCAATCCAGAGCAAGCCTCACTGCCGTAACCCTTCCTTCAAATCATTAACACAAGCCCAAAGCCTGTGATAAGTCTTTTCGAACACCTTCTTATTGAGATGCCCCTCAGTTCTCCATGGTGTATGTGCTCTCTCACTGCAATAAAAATAAACCTAGTTTGTTTAACTGCTGGCATGTTCCTGGTAGTCTCTGGCAGGAGGGCTTTGGAAATGTATATAGCATGTTTATACACTTTCTTTTTCTAAAATTGAAGGTGATAATAAACATTCTGTTTGGTAACCATTTTTTTCCATTGAATAGATCATGAGCATTGTCTCTTGTCAATTAATATTGTTATAAAACATTTTAATTGCTGCATAGAGTTCCATCACATGGCTGAAACTTAATTTCTTTAACTTATACCATATTGTTGGACATTTAGGTTTTTAAAATTTTTACTATTATACATAATACTGAGATGAACATCCTGTATATACATCTCTTACTGCATCTCTATTTTCTTAGGGTCAAATATCTGCCACTACATTTTAAGTAGACTGCTTCTAGCAAATGCCTTTCTAATTATTGTTAAATTGAAAGGGACAAGGACATTCCTTCACAGGGATTAAATTTGTTGATAAAATAAATGAAGTAGTCCCCTTTGGGTGGGTGTGGGGGGGCATTCTTATCATCTGTTACATTTGGAATCAGTCTCTTGTCTGAGTCTTGCTCAGAGATGCCAGAGGGATTGATCATGGTATGGAGAGAATGAGGACTCAAAAGAAAAGCTTATTTGGTTTGATAAGGTTAGAAACAAGGGTCTATTCTTTTTTTTTTTAATCTTCATTTAGTTTCTTTCTTTCTTTCTTTCTTTTTTGTGAGGAAGATCAATCCTGAGCTAACATCCATGCCAATCCTCCTCTTTTTTTGCTGAGGAAGACCGGCCCTGAGCTAACATCTATTGCCAATCCTCCTCCTTTTTTTCCCCTTTTTATCCCCAAAGCCCCAGTAGATAGTTGTATGTCATAGTTGCACATCCTTCTAGTTGCTATATGTGGGACGCCGCCTCAGCATGGCCAGACAAGCGGTGCGTCAGTGCGTGCCCAGGATCCGAACCCGGGCCACCGGTAGCGGAGCATGTGCACTTAACCGCTAACCATGGGCCGGCCTCCAACAAGGGTCTATT